AAAAAAAAAAGAATACAAACTTTTTTTTTTTGTTTTTGTTTTTGTTTTTGTTTAAAGACAGGGTCCCATTATGTAACCTTGGCTAGCCTCAAACTCAGTATGGAACCAAGTTGACTTTGCACTCAGAAAGATCTGTGTCCCAAGTACTGAGGCTGAAGATGAGAACCACCATGCTCAGTTGACCTTTTTTTAATCAAGAATTTAACTGTGGCCAGGCGGTTGCGAACACCTTTAATCCCAGCACTCGGGAGGCAGAGCCAGGCAAATCTGTGAGTTTGAGGCCAGCCTTGGCTACAGAGTGAGCTCCAGGACAGGCACCAATACTACAGAGAAACCCTGTCTCAGAAAACCAGAAGAAAAGGATTGGTTGTGTTGGGAGTGTATGTGCGAGCAAGCCTACAGGGGTCAAAGAGCAACTGTGAGAAGAGCTGGGTTCTCTCCTCCACTATGTGGGCCCTGGGGTCAGACTGTGTTGGCAGCACACATTTACCTGTGAGGAGCCATCTAATCAGTCCCTAAAGTACTTGCTGCTTCAATCTCATTGCTGCATGATTCTCACCTTCCCCCTCTCCCCTCCCCCTGCTAATTCAACCTAGGACTCAGGCATAGTAGTGAAGCACATCCCCCAGCAGTGATAGGGGTTTTTTGAAAGTTTTATTTTTTAAAAGTTTTCATGAGTCAGGCAGTGATGGCGCACGCCTCTAATTCCAGCACTTGGGAGGCAGAGGCAGGCGGTCTCTATGAGTTATAGGTCAGTCTGGTCTACAAGGACAGTCACAGCTGTTACACAGAGAAACTCTGTCTCTGAAACCATGTGTGTGTGTATGCGCGTTTTAGCTGTGTGTCTGTAAATGACTGGTCCTAGCTTGAACAAAAGAGAGCATCAGATTCCCTAGAAGTGAAGTCACAGGTAGTTGTGAGCTGCCGTGTGGGTGCTGGGAAGTGAAGCCGGGTCCTCTGGAAGAGCAGCCAGTGCTCTTAACTGCTGAGCCATCCCTCCAGCCCCAGCTGATGACTAGTAAATTAGAATAGAAAGAAAGGTGGACTAAACGTTTGGAAAATGTCCATAAGTTTAACTACAACTCAGTGTTAACAAGCACCAGTTAAATTCCATCTTCTTTTTACTCCAGGAAACTAAAAAGCCAAGTAAATCTCTAATACAAACCACTCATTTTTAATGACGCACCAATTATCTTAAATTATTTGATTAAGGAAACATGCCCAATTAGTAACTGAAACTTCTGCACATAAGCAGTAACTCCATCCAAAGCAACAGAGACAGCAGCTTCTACCAGTATCGGACATATGCACACACAGGCCCCACACAGAACCTGGCTGGAGAGCTCGGAATAAGGCTCAGTCAGAGTGCTTGCCAGATCAGCATACATATCCAAGTTCAAGCCCTAGCAGCCATACAGAAGCCAAGCATGGCTGTGTGTTTAAAATCCCTGCATTAGGGAGACAGAGATGGGCAGTTCACTCCAGTTGACTGGCTGGCCAGTCTAGTCTTATCAGTGAACCCTAGTCCTGACAAGACACCTTGTCTCAAAAACAAAGATGGATGACTCCAGAAGAACACCACCCAAAGTTGGTCTGGCTTCCATGTGCATCCACACAAAGAATCTGGAGCAATGACCCTAAAATCCTGAAGAGAGGCAAAGCTTATCTTTAGTATGCAAAGGCCCTGAGCTCATTCCCAGCACTGAAAAATAAAATCCACACTACATTTAACTGTAACATGAATCTTAAATGTTCTTATTTAAAAAAAAAAAACTCAGTGCCAGCTATTGGTGTAAATTCTGAAAGATCAGAGAAGCAGAACAAGCCACAGCTAACCTCACCTCGACAATCCCTTTTTGGATCCTGTTTCCGCCAATCTTCAGAGTGAAAGCTTCTGAGTCTTGACCCGAATGGATCTCAGCTAAACTGCTGCTAAAAGCCTAAAAGCTTAAAAAGCCAAAGTTCTGGTCTTCACACCTTATATACCTTTCTGCTTCCTGCCATCTTTTTTTTCCCCCCCCTGGGATTAAAGGTGTGTATCTTTTCCAAGCAAAGACATGAGATCTCAAGTGCTGTGATTAAAGGTGTGTGTCACCGTACCTGGCTCTGCTCCTAATGTGGCCTTGAACTCACAGAGATCCACAAAGATCTCTGCCTTCCAAGTGACAGGATTAAAGGCATGTGTACCACCATTTTCTGGCCTCTATATCTAGTGGCTGTTCTGATCTCTGACCCCAGATAAGTTTATTAGGGTCCACAATATATTAGGGAACACAATATCACCACATATAAATGTATAATTAACTAAACCACCATGGATTTTTTTTTGGGGGGGGGGGTTCAAGATAGGGTTTCTCTGTAGCCCTGGCTGTCCTGAAATTCACTCTGTAGATCAGGCTGGCCTTGAACTCAGATCTGCCTGCCTCTGCCTCCTCCTCCCACCATACCTGGCTTTCAACTGTGGTCTTAAAACAAAATACTTGAAATTATTTCAATAATCTTCATAAGGAAAATTAAAATGTTAATACTAAGTACAACAGGCATCCTTCCCCTCGTGCATACATCAATGTCTGAAAGCCGTTACCGTCATCTGTATATTCTTGGCATGCACCTGAGACATGAAGATATAATATAGTAATAAAATAAAACCACCAATTTCAAAAACTATCTCAGAAGTGATTCTTACTTATTTCCATCCATATTTGGGAAATGCCAATTCACTATTTAAACTTTAAACAACAATAGCATGTTCCAGGGTGTGGACTCATAATCCAAGAACCAAAAAACAAAGCAAACAGCTAGGCAATGGTCACACTCTGTGGTGGGTCTGAATAGGAATGGCCCCCATAGGGAGTGGCACTATTAAGAAGTGTGGCCTTATGGGAGTAGGTGTGGCCTTGTTGAAGGACAAGTCACAATGGGGGATAAAGGTGGGCTTTGAGGTCTCCATATGCTCAAACTATGCCCAGTGTGGCACACAGTGTCCTTCTGCTGCTTGTGGATCAAGATGTACAACCCCCAGTTCCTTCTGTGGCACCATGTCTGCCTGCATGCCACCATGCGCTGCCATGATGATAACAGACTAAAACTCTGAAACTGTAAGCCAGCCCAATTAAATGTTTTCCTTTATAAGAGTTTCCATGGTCACGGTGTCTCTTCACAGCAACAAAAACCCTAATAAGAACACTCCATGATTCTAAAAGGTTAAGATAAAAGGATCAAGCCTGGAGTACATAGCTACTTAAAAGCCAAGTCCCTATCTCAAAATAAACAAATACGTAAATAAGAATAAAAATAAAAGAATAAATAAATAAATAAAACAGGCTACGATGCGGCTCACCTAGTAGATGCTCACCTAGCATGCATGAGCTGGGGTTTAATCCCAACCACCTTGTACAATCTGGGAGGTTGGAGCACACCTGCAATCCCAGTACTGGGGAGTGGAGGCATGAAGCTTTATCACTGGACGAGTCCTGATGACAAGAGAACCTGTCTTAACAACTAACAAAGGCCAGGCAGAGTGACACACACCTTTAATCACAGCACTCCAGGGGCAGAGGCAGGTAAACCTCTGGGAGTGTGAGGACAGCCTGGTCTACATGGTGGGTTCCAGGACAGCCAGGGCTCCACAGTGAGAGCCTGTGGGGGGTGGAGGGTGGGAGAACAACTGAGCAAACAACAAACAAACATCAGAACTTCAGCAGCCGGGTGGGGCTCAGCTGGAGGCTTGCCTAGCACCATGGGGTGGCTCTCCAGCACCCACCACCACCTCAACAACACAAGCAGGGCCTGCTGAGTGTAACAATGGTAGCAGGCTCACCTAGTGTCCAGTGTCCAGGCTGGGTCCACAGCACTCCCCAAACAAGCACATTGCAAACACAACAGAACGGCCAGTGATCAGTGTTCCTCACAGCCAACACTCTCTCTTCCCAGAGTGCCATGTGTACACTCAACCCATTTGGTTCTCCCCTTTGTCTTCTGACCAAGGTCAGTCGTAAAAGTTAAAAACATTCAAAAGTCTAAATATAAATTATTTGTTATTCCAAAGTATAAGCAAAATTGACTCTAAAGGCAGCAACTAAAAGCATCTGTCTCCTTCGTGGCTGACTGAAGGCTTTTTGAAGATTACAAATCCAAGTCCCCATCGCTGCTGGCCTCTGCAACAGGAAAGGTGATGAGTAAAGGAGAACTGTGTTGAGAAAGGCTGTAACTTTCTGTGCCTCTAAGTTTCAGAAACAGCTGTTAGCACCAACTGAAGCATCAAAAATCAAATTATAGTTCATGACAATCTACCATTCAAGAATTGTTGACCTGCAAAGGTCCTTTCCCAGTGCTACCAAGAGGAAGGGCCAATGCCACATGTCCCTCTTCAACCAACACTTGCAACAATCTAACACCTTCTTCCGACCTCCGAGACACCAGGTATGCACATGACATACACAAATACAGTCAGGCAAAATACGCACATAATAAAGTAAATCTAAAAACTTTTAAAAAATGCATACTACAATTACTCTTATGCTTCTAAAAGTACCAAGTTATTTTCTCTGTAAGTTTTAGATATTTTAAAACAAAAACACATTAAAACTCCCATTTTAATTGAATAAAAAAGCCCAGCACTTGGGAGGCAGAAGCAAGCACATCTCTGTGTTCAAAACCAGCCAGATCTACAGAGCAAGTTCCAGGACAGCCAGGACTACACAGAGAAAAGGAGGATCAAGAGTCCAAGGTCAGCCTGAGGCACATAGCAAGATCTGTGTGATTGCTGGAGTGAGTCTATTACCCCAGGAGGGCTAGGATGACTTGGAAACCACAGCCTACCTCTTCGTGCGTAACTGGAGTCTGTATCTTTAAACTGTACTACAACGAAGTCTGAGCATTTGAACAAAATACTCTCCATTATTTCTTCGCGTTTTGGCCCCGAACTGGATTCTGTACTTTTCTCATGTGCAGCATCAAGTACCAAATCACACTAAAATGAAAAAAAAATTAATAAGCATTAAAAACATTATTAAATAATGTTTACAGGGATATTTAGCTCAAAGCAAAAGCAAGCATCACGAGAAACCCTGTCAATCATGTCCTGTTTAGAAATGTAATGTCATGCACCCAAATTGCAGAAGTCCTCCGAAGTACAATCTACCCGTTAGAGGGCACCTGAAGCGCACTGGTGTTAGCAGAGGACTAACTCAGCCCACGCCTCTTCTGCTGCCAGTGCTGAGATGGCTGCGTATCACCACACACAGTGTCTCCAGTTATACAAACCAGTTGTTAAATAATAACAATTTGTTACTAGAGGGAAAAACTGAAGTGGTTTTTAAAAATGGATAGAATGTGTGGTGAGCATGAAACTATCATCTCATGAGCTCAACTGCCAAATCCAGTCAGCTCAGACCTGACACTCAGGAAGTGACATGACCATAAAAAGTGAGCCCGGAGTTAAAATTACCTTAGGACTGTATGTTTTAAAAACTCCTTCATAGACACCACCATTCTTCACTTGTACTTCACATTTCGATCCCTAGAAGACACAATTGCGTGAAATAAATAGTGTGGTACCTCACCATCAGAGACAAGTTTTTCATTTCACTATATATATGAAGTTTCAGCACATTGCCATTACCCCGAATTCTCTACACTGCACAGAACTGGCAGCTCCACAGAGAGCATGAACTGAACAGTAAAGCCGCACATTTCTGTCCACATACCATCAGACTGTAACAAAGTATTACACAAAAGACAATCAGTGTAACCACTACCATACATACATCAGGGTCAGCAAGAACACTTTCACTGGGAGCTAGCATCAACTGAATACTGTTCTAATGTATTTTTAAAGCCATCTTCATTAAGTATGACCTAATAATATTAGGCTGAGAATTGTTCTCCACACTTTAACTCCATGAAATGGAGTTCTACCCCAAAGGAATTTATCCCCAATAATCAGGTAACTTACAACAACTGATGTAAGTATATGAACCATCCTCACGTTTGCATAGATTCCATCAAAAGAAACCTGGAAAATTTAAAAAAAGAAAAAAAACATGATTATCTCAGCTGGTATCTGCACTTGTCTGCATATTAAAGCTAATACTTCTCTAGCTGTAAGATGTTTGGATTATAATGCATGAAGGAAGAGATATAAACAATAAACTCAAACAACTATTCTAACTAATAATTAATATGACATAAAACAAACAAAACCAGCAGACTTCTACACCTCCAAGTATGAGAAAACAAAAACCTCTGGAGAAGACAAACCAACTTTGTAGGGACAGACTGCACAGCTCCCAGATAGGGAAATGCCACGTCTTGAGTCCAGGAATGGCTGCAGGGTTATAAACTTTAAAGTCTCTAGGCACAGACAGGCATGCTTGCACACACTTTTAATCTCAGCATTCTGGAGGCAGAGGCAGGTGGATCTTTGTGAATTCCAGGCCACTGGTCTACACAGTGAGTTTCCAGGCCACCCAGGTTACATACTGAGACCTTGTCTCAAAAACACACACAAATAAAAAACCTCAGACAGGGACTGGTGAGAAGGCTCAGTGGGTAAAGACACAATGAGCCCCAAGTCCTGAGTTCCATCCTCACAAAGTGGCCCTCCGCCAGGGCACACTCACTATCCCCATACCAAAAAAAAAAAAGCACACCACAACAGAGTTAACCGTCAGCTACACTAGAAAATAGCTGGATGGAAGAGTGCTTGCCCAGCACATTAAAGAGCCTGCACCCTAATTCCAGCACCAAGGGCAGCTGGGTAGTGAGGAAAGAGGCTGTGGGGTGGTCCTTCTGTACTCTGTGAATGTGCATTGCTCTCATTGGTTGATAATAAAGCTGTTTTGGTCTAGGGCAAGGCAAGATAAGGTTAGGGGTACAATCAAACTGTGAGGACTGGGATGAAGAAGGGCGGAGTCAGACAGAGGCAAGCAAGCTGCCCAAGGAACACGATGCCCGAGGACCGGTAAGCCATGGACCACGTGGCAATCAATCAATCAATCAATCAATCAATAAATAAATAAATAGATTAATAGGAATGGGTTATTTTATACATAAGAGCTACTTAATAATAAGCCTATGCTATCGGTCAAGCATTTATAGTTAATATAAGTCTTTGTGTAGTAATTTGGGAAGCACCTGGTGGGTATTTGGGACCTCACAATCTATATCCTAAAAGGGGTACAGTACATCTTAATAAATTAGGAGTGGTGACCAGGGCACACCTTGCATCACCAGCTTCTCTCAGCATGTTTGAATCAAGGCAACAGAACTATTCCAGCCAAGCCAGACTACACAGGGTGTGTTCTCCTGACTCTCAGGAAGATAACATGACCAATAAAGACCATATTTCAAAACTCAGTGGTGCTGGGTATGGCGGCGCACACCTTTAATCCCAACACTTGGGAGGTAGAGGCAGTAGGATCTCAGTGAGTTCAAGGCCAGCCTCGTCTACAGAATTAGTTCCAGGACAGCCAGGGCTACACAGAGAAACCCTGTCTCAAAACAAGCAAGCAAACAAAAGGAGCAAAAAGAAACAAACAAAACCCCTCAAAGGCAACCAGATCTCTATGAGTTTAAGGCTAGCCTGGTCTACATAAGTTCCAGACCGGTCAAGGCTACACAGCAGATCCTGTCTCAAAAATCTCCAATTAGTGGCAGCTTCTCATATGGGACTTTATGCTTTTGGTGTTCATTTTAACTTCACTGATAAAAGTTGGAAAATGTCAGACTAGAAGGTGTTTCCAAGCGAGAAAAATGAAAGGAGTTTAAACAGACAGCACATTAATTCAAACAAAAAGCCCAAAGGACTTTACAAACTCTGGTCCTAGAACATCGAAACACTTCAGCTGGTATCAGTATTACACACGACACAAATACTATTAACAGAAAATTGTACATTTCATAGGAGTCCTTACTGAAAAGCAATATAGAAATCAATAACTTTGTATTAAAGTGACTCATCTATATATTATCTGTAGCACAATTCAAGAGATTTTATTCCTAGCTTTATTATTGAGTCTATGGTTAGAAATCACACTTTATATATTTTTACAAATAACATGAAAGGTACTCACCGTAGGCTGAGGCAGCCCTTTGCTACTGTTCCGACCTCTGTAAAGATTAAATATTGTTTTTATTAAATTCAAAAGACTACATACACTTAAAAACATTGTTTAAATTTAAAATATAATCTTATAATTCTACTCAAATACGGGTCAGGCTGTCTGTGGAAGGGGCCGTCTAACCCTGAGTGACAGGAAATCTAAGTGGCCATGTGCTGGGCTACCAGGCCAGGGAGAGATTACCACCGACAGGCAAGAAGACGAGATTAGTGTTTTATCAGAACCAAACAGGTGAGTCAGGTGTAGTAGCGCTCGACTCTAAGACAAGCAATAAGGAGGCAGAGGCAGGCAGATTCCAAGACAGCCTGGTCTACACAGTGAGTTCTAGGACAGCCAGGGCTACTAGGTGAGACGTCTCCAAAACAAACAAACAAACAAACAAACACCAAAATGGATGAAAGAAAAGTAAAGACAGTCTAGCTGGGTGGGGTGGTGCATGCCTGTACCTCACACTTCAGAGACTGAGGCAGTGAGATGCTGTGGGTTTCAGATCAACCAGGGCTACAAAACAAGACCTTGTCTCTCCACCCCAAACAAGTACACCGAAAGAAAGAAATGACATTAAACACAAAGCAACACTATCAAGGTATAGTGGCACACACTTGTATCACATATTTTACTGGTACCCCAATCATCTCTCATTGTTCCCCCGTCTCTAAAAAGTAGGTAATATATCTATAACTGTAGAAAAACTATTAAAAAATATTAAAACAGGGTTTTTCAGAAGGCTCAGTAAGTAAAGGCACTTGCTACCAAGCCTAATGATCCAAGTTCAATATCCAGGACCTACACCTGAAAGGAGAAAACCAACACCTGTAAACTGTCCTGTGACCACTCCCTGTGTGCTATGACAAACATACACACACTAAGTAAATAAATGTCTGAACATTAAATACACAATTCTAGACACGGCAAGTTCTAAATACATGTCTCTGACAGAATTGGCTTTGTGATATAGCAGATCTGGTGGTCCACAGCTCTAATTCCAGCTGAGGCAGTAGCATCCTGATTTTGAGGCTAGCCTGGGCTACACAGTCAAAATCAGGAATTCTCCAACAAATGCTTTTCTTCGCCAACTCTCTTTCCTTGGAAAAGATATGGTACACAAAACTCAGTTACCAGGTTGGGAATATAGCTCAGTGGTAGAGAATGCTTGCTTAATGTGTTTGAGCCCTAAACTCAGTTTCCAGCACTGTAGGAACAAACAAAATCCACATCAAACAACACAAGACCTGGCTATCAAATGGTCCCTTGTATGTGGACTATTTGCAAGTGAACTGAATCATAATAAACAATACCATTGTTCCTTTGTACTCTACGAGACTGATCCAAGACCCCATCAGAAACAAAATTCAAGACTGTTCAAATCCCTTATATATAGTACTTGCATGACTCACATACCGTTTTATTATTTAAAACATCCAGTCAAATGTAAATGTCATATATACATGACTGTATTATTTAGAGAATGACGAGAAAAAACAAACAACAACAACAAAAACAGGCCATACTTAGTGCTAGTGCAGTCCACCCACCACCCTCGGTCAGTTCAACCTGCAAGTCTGGAACAGAACCCATGCAGAGGCTGGCTGTAGAGCATAAAGATTGGATCCTCACAGAAACAATACTGTATTCCTGCTCCACGCTTTGTGGAACAACACAACTGGATTTTAAAGTTGTTGGTGGGTGAGTGCCTGCCTGTATGTCTGTACACCGTGCACATGCCTGGGGCCCATGGGGGCTAGAGGAGGGCATTGGATCCCCCAGGACTAGAGTTACAAAAAATTATAAGCAGTCATGTGGGTGCTGGGAAACAAACCCAGGTCCTCTGCAAGAGCTCTTAACCACTAGGCCTTCTGTCCGGCCCCTGCAATCCCATTTTAATACAGTAACCACAAACTCTAATTAAGTCAAAATTTGAAGTATTCAATAGGAAAATTTAGGTGCTGAAAGCCTAGAGCAGTATTGCCAATTCCTCAGCAGCCACACTAGCAGAACTCTGCGGCAGTCCTAATCTATTCTCCAAATGTTGTCTTCCTCACCTTCACTTAATTACAGGAGCATGGCTTAGGCGAGATGATCTCTCATTTCTTTCAGGGATTCTGTAACCCTCTGCTTCACACATTATGAAATGTTCTTGCCACTTGGCAGAATGGCTCTGTGGGTAAAGGCACCGCCACCTAGCCTGACAAGCCAAGTTCCATCCCCTGGACTCACACAGTGGAGGAGAGAACTCCTGCAGGTTGTCCCCTGAGCCGCACATTCCAGTCAGGAACCATTTGAAAAGAAAAGAAATCCTGAAAACCTAAGAACCTGAGCAGTAACTTGTCACAGATCTTACTAGGAACCAAGTTCAATGTTAAGCACTAGATTCTAATTAACCACCTGTTTTATAGTTGATGGAAATGAACCTTGACCCAAACCACCCAACCCAGTTCATGTGCAGTCAAGTCCTGCTGAAACCAAGTGCACCTGATCTACACCAGGCTTGTTTCTGTGGTTAAGCTTTCTCTCAGAAGTCACATCCCAAGAAGAACTTCCTGGCACCCTTCTAACTTTACAATTAAGGCTTATGGCAGACTCAGTTAGTAGAGTGTACCCAATCCTGGGCTCCATTCTCAGTACCACACAAAAATCAGGTACAGTGAGACACACCTGTAAGCTTAGCACTCAGGAGATAGAAGCAGGATCAGGAGTTCAAGGTCTAGACCACACAGATGGCTCAGTTTTTAGGGTGTACTTACTACTCTTCCAGAGGACCAGTTAGGTTTCCAGCATCTATGTGGGGTGGCTCGCAATTGCCTCTAACTCTAGTATCAAAGGATCTAACTACTTCTTCTGGCCTTTAAAAGCACTGCACTGCACACACATATACACATAGATACAAAGACACACACATACTTAAACATACATCTTTTTTTTTTTTTTTCTTCAGAGACAGGGTTTCTCGGTGTAGCTTTGGAGCCTGTCCTGGAACTCACTCTGTAGCCCAGGCTGGCCTCGAACTCACAGAGATCTGCCTACCTCTGCCTCCGAGTGCTGGGATAAAAGGCATGCACCACCACCACCGCCTGGCTTAAACATAAATCTTAAAGCAGAAGCAGGTCAAGACCAGCCTCAGCTACACAAGAGCTTGAGCCCACCCTAGACTATATGAGAACCTGTCTTTAGAAGAGCCACCTCTTCCTCAAGGGTCTAGCCTGGCTAATGGATGAAACCAGAAAAGATCTTATTAAGGAAACCCAGACCCATAAAGACAAATGTCACATGTCCTCTCTTATCTGAGGTGCTGGTTTCCAGATCTTCAGATGTTAAGATCCTGGAGTAACTGCAGAAAGCAGGAGAGTAAGAAGGGACCACTGGGACTAGGTATGGTTGTGCACACCTTCACTCCCCGAACCTAAAGGGCAGAGAGGCAAGAGGACTTCTGAGTTCAATCAAGGCCAGCATGGTCTGCATTGTGAGTGTGAGGACAGCCAGGACTACATAGAGACCCTGTCTCGAAAACAAAACAAAATACAAAGTAAAGGACCACTGATGGGGTAGAGGTTGGGGAGCAAGAAGGGGCACAGAAGGACACAAGTGATCTGATCAGGGAAACAGAAAAGGGGAGGGTGCCTCTTTAGGGAGGTAAGGGAGGAAAGAGGGAAAAATAACAGTAAGGATGTTGAAAAAGTCTTAAGAATCATACTGCTGATCAAAAAACAAAAGCAAACAAACAAACCAACCCACAAACATGTTACATGTACTCTGTGTCTAAACACACACACATAGTTTAAATGAACTTCTCTCATCTGGGCTGACAATGCTTTCTCCAAGAGCCAAAGGCAACCTAACAAAAAACCCAACACCAGACATGAGAAGCCTTCTGAATTGTTGGTCAGGGTGTCCAAAAGACTCCTAAAACCTACAGCCTATTGCTACTGCCCTTGGGTGACTCCCAGCGGTGCAAGGTAAGTGAGTCTCTATTGCTAAGACACCACGTACTTCAAAAGTAGGACCCAGAGGCCTAACCTTCCTGGTACCAGAAGGCACCAGGCAAGCTTACAAGGAGGCAAACAACCAACAGCCATGCCCAGCTATGATGCCTAAGAACCACAGACACCCCAAGGGTGTCACAGTGGTAGGCATACCTTGGCAGTAACCAAAAACTCTCTAATTGGACTTAAGACCCACTCAGTAAGAAAAAAAAAAAAATGCTTGGTCCCGAAAACCTAGCCAAGTGCTCAGGGCTAGTGAAGTCGTAGCAGCCCTTTACTAGAACAGGGCCCGAACAACTCTAAGTACTTGTCCTTACACCACAGATAAGTGTAATCCTCACCTCTCATCTACAGCACTTCTCTCTGCAACAGACAGAGACCATCACAGAAACACACAACCAATCAAAGTGCAGCATTACAGAGCCCAGTCCCAACGGACACATCTATAAAACATTCCTGCACCTACGGCTCAGGGAACATTGTGGTAGAGAAGGAAGAAACATTCTAAGAGCCAGAGGATCAGGGAGTTTGCTGTGAGATTGTGTCTCCGAAGAATGTTACAAGCTACACCCAAAGTTTCACCAACTTGACTGTCTAACCCTGAGCCGAACAAAGACAACACTACAGTCAGGCCAAGTGGACGGGAGACGCCCCCGAGGCCTCAACCCACACAAACAACTACAGGTAACCCAGAATGCTGCGAGGGGGAGAAAAGTTTCTCCAGGAAAGTGTACCTGGATGGTACTATGGTCAATACCTAATGGTCGACCCTAACAACATACACAGGAGAAACAAAGACTGATCAGGTTATATTTAAGAATATAACTACAGAGAAACCCTGTCTCAGTGGGGAAAAAAAAAGAATATATCGATAAGCAAATATGCACTCAATAACAGTTAATGAAAAAAAGAAGCCATGGATTTGTTTCAGTTTTTGTTTTGTTTTTTGAGACAGGGTTTCTCTGTGTAGTTTTGGTGCTTGTCCTGGATCTCTGTAGACCAGGCTGGC